AGCAGCAAATCCAAACAAGCCTACTTCTCTGAGAGCCTCATTCAGGTTCCGTGCCAGTGTCAGTACTGCACATTAAAATTTAACAGCCACTTGCAAGAGTTAAAATTAAAATAAGTGGAAGCCACTTCACATTTGCCCTCAGCAGTAAGAGCTGGACTCAATGACAGCAGCTTTGTTTCATTATCTCCAAATGAAATGAGGTGCATTTGCAAAACACAATCTAAATGGGTTGACTTTCTGTGGATGTTACCTCCAAGTACTGGCTTTTAATAGAAAGAATCAGCTAAGAGGAACCATCAGCATAGAGTGGGCTCAGAGTGTGCAAAAGCAGCAGAGGGAAAAAGGAACTGCAGCAGCATGTAACAACCCATGAGTATGATGACCCCAAACCCAACCAGTTCACTGTGTAATAGCACCTCCACAGATGTTTGAAGATACAAATCCATTTTAAACAGATAGCACCATTTTACAAAGTATGAAGATAACTTACTAACTGAACATGGAATAGGTGGAATTCCAAAGTCTTAAGTTAATATGAACATCTTAGAGGCACAAACACCAAGCATTCACAGGTGCACCTCTATCATGCTGTTCCAAAGAGCCATAACACACATTATATATATATAATTATTATACACAGCAGCTGATAGCTTTAATAGATTTTTTTGGGGTGCTCATAAAAAAATGGATTGCTGAGCAGTAATAAACTTGCAAAGTCTTTTAGGCAAAAGACTCAAAAAACCACAAGTTATCTGTACTCCTGCACCAGGTGACTGTGTTAGTTACACCTCAGGGAGCTCCAACCCTTCCCCAGTTAGACAGAATGATGTCACCTGTAACTGTGGAAATACTCAGCCTTGGCAGGCAGACAATGAGGAAGTGAGTAACTATTGTTCTGAACCTACTGTGATGTTAGCCTATATGCATGTCATTAACAATCTGGCACCATCAGCTGTTGTACAAGCTGGGGGGGTGTCTTATTTATTTTAAAAGTGTTGACTGAAACTTCCAGCACAGCAAGTTCAACAGCTACAGCAATGTGAGGAACACCGAGGTGCTCTGAAACTATCACCAAGGTACTGCTCCCTCCATTGCTCCCTTTTTGGCCTCTAAAATACTGGTCAAGGGACAACAGTAAAGGTCCAGAGAACTGAGTAACGGAATAGTAAGCCAGACTATATAGTGGCTTCCTCCAACCGTGTGTAAGCAAGGCCCCAAATCAGTAGTAACAGAATACAACCCTCTCAGTTTCTCCTGGTGCTTCTGACTAACACAGCCCATCTGCATCAGGAGCTTATCCCCAGGTGAACACAGCTACATCCACTTGATATAGTTCTGCTCTGAAGTAGTGCATTCAAGCTGGAACAAGAAAACTAACTGCCGTTAAGTAGGTATTTTGCTAGAAGAATACTCTTGCTCCAGGACTGCAAAGCCCTTTGACATGGCACAGTCACTGCAGGACACCCTGGCACACTGTCCCAATTCAGGTCATTTCCTTCTCATGCTTGAGGAAAGAAAAATACACACTTCTGGACTTGTACAAATAACCCAACTATTTGTTACTTGTAGATTCTTTATATTAAAGCTAGGGACTATTTACTATACCTTATTATAATCTCCTATACTGTTTGCTTTCCCTTTCAAAATAAGGAAGTGGCTACTGTGTAGAACAGTCACTCCCACAGCACCTCCAAAACAGTGAGTAGTAAACTGTATTTCCAGATGGGACCTGAGCGACAGGGAGAAGGTTATTTTGCCAAGACAAAAAGTCTTTGTTAGAACTGGAAGTTAAATCCAGCCCCCATAGTCTAGACCATAACTCTTAATAGCTGCCCCAGCCTCCTTCAACCACTGCTGCAACAGCTTAACTAACACATCAACACCATGTGTCTTGTTCAGCACTGACCCACTGAGTATGACTGCTTCTGAGCATCATCCCTAAGTGCTTGCCTGGAAGAGTGAAAAAAAATTAGGCAGAAATCAGAACTGATCTTAAAATATTCAGAAAAATCAATTCTCAGGTTTGCTTTTAATCATATGTAAACAATGGAGATTGAGTTTCCTGAAGAGAACACAGTGGACATGGTTCTGTGCTCCCGACTGCTCGCTCTTGTCAGTCAGACACTAATCAATTGTAACAACATCCTCTTAAACTATTAGTTAAACGTACATTGGGAATGGGAGCTCTTATAGACTGTCTGAATTAATCACTTTATTCAAGAAATCGGGTGCTCTGAATTGCTCATCTTTTTAAACTCTAGGACACTAAAATGATACCAGAGTAAGAAACAGCAGAGTAAAAGTACATCCCTCCAATGTTTACCAGTTTCAAGCACACATTATTTACTCAAGCAGCTTTACTTATAATCACAGTGACAACACATGAATGTGATCAATTTTAGGGCCTTAGAACTTATTATTTAGCACATCCCCTGCCAAAAGTCGTAACAAGTTTAAATTATTTGTTGAAGGCAGCAAAATTTCCCCCAGAATCTTTAAAAAAAACCTTAATTTCTGATTTTATCACTCCTGAGACCGTTGCAAGGTACAAGTCTGAACAGCTCCAGGGAGCTGGGGTTTGCTGTGCTTCAGCTCAGGAGGGTATTACACTTCTTGCACTTCAGATATCTGCTTGCAACAGTTCTCTCCCAACCCTCCCCAAAACTTACATTTCTAGTCAAAATGGGGATCAGGCTGACCACAAGTCTGTGGAAATATCATAAACACACTCAGCTTTAAAAATGTAATAAATAAGCCCCTTCTTGCCAGGCTGGATGGGTACAAACACACCAGTACCTGAATGTACTCTCCAGCTATTTTTTTTCTCCCTTTTTACTTCAAAGCTTTTTCAAACATGTTTAGACAAAAGGACAAATTAATCCTCTTGTCTGGTCTTCTAGCTTATGAGGCTTATTTTAGGGTGGTTTTTCTTCTTCTTCTGGCCACATGTTGTCTATTGTGAGATCTGGAATGATCACAACCCATTAAAGCTTAAAAAAAAAAAGATTTAAATTAAAACTGTCTTTTTAATCAATTGATGTGTAGTCTAACTGTACACAGGCAAGGTTTTACTACTACTATTAAGTAATCCTGATATCCCAATGCTCAAACTGGATGAAGTCTACCAAAGCCACATGCAAAAAGCTGTAAGTAAACAGAAATTAAACAGTCCATGGGATCCCGTCACTGAGTCTGTCTTATGCACACAGTAACCCAGAGCAAGTCACGGCACAGCAGCTACACCCAGGCTGTGCGCTAAGTACAAGAAAGTCCTTCAATTCAGCCTGGGATAAATCCAATACAGCCAGGATGGGATAATACCACCTGCAGGCTCTCAGCACCTGCACACACTGGCCTCTGCCATTTGCTCATTTCTCTACCCACAACTGGATTTTTCAGACCCTGATACATCAGCTTGTGCAAGGAAAAGGAAAATCAAGCCTGCTCAAACTGTGTTCGGTTCAGGATTCAAAACTTACCTAAAGCACTTCAACTTTAAAACATGGATAAAATGCATTTAGTTGTTAATAACAGGACCACACGACGATGCAACGAAACTTAGAATAGTCTATGGTCTTTAAATGGAAAACAGTTCGACTTTTTAAAAAACATGAAGGAATTCTTCAGAGTTTTGGTTTTCACTAAAGTCACGATACAGCTGTGACAGGCATCGTCTTCATGTGTAGCATATACTACTTTCACTTTTGCGAATTGTTAAATAAATACTTGTATTTGCAAATAACAGGGTATATTAAAAAAAAACAACAAAATCACCTCTTTTTAAGCTATGAGGAGCCAGACCTCTGAACTTAAACCTCAGACAGTAGCGACTGTCACTCCCATGCAAACCCAAACAGACCAGACCAGCAACCATGCAGCAGCAAAGGTGGCAAAGCACGATAAAAATAACAGTAACACTAAAAACTTTTGCTTTTAGTCACAGAAATAAAGAAATTAAAAGAAGTAATGCTGAATTTCCTCAGCACCCAACTTTCGGTAACCAAATGCTACCTAACGCTGCGCTTGTTTTACAGAGGAAAAGAGTCGGAAGCAACATTCCGAAGCGTTTCTAACTCCAACATCACATCGAAGAGCAACACAACTGTCACGACACAGCCACGGAGTCCGCCGGCTTTACCAGCGTACAACCGGTTGCCTCAGGGCGCTGTCCCCGCACTCCCGGGGCCAGGCCCGTTCCCCGCCGCGCTGTGCCGGCAGCGGGCCGCCAGCCTCCGGCGGGGCAAGCTCGCAGCCACACGCGGCTTCCACTTCCCCGTCCGGCGCTGCCGGGGGCAGAGCGCCCAACCCCGCAACCCGCCCAGGGCTTCCCCTCGCCGGCCCCAGGGCCAGGCCCGCCCGCCCCTTCCGGACTCCCCCCCACAACGCCCGGTGGCGGAGCCGCCCTGACCTCCCCCCCCCCCCCGACACACCCCCGGCCCCGGGCTCACCTGCGCTTCGATCGGAACTGGCGGTCCCTGCCCCACTCCGGGGGGCCCTTGGCCCTGTCCCGGCCCCGCCTGCCCGGGCCCGGGCGGGGTTTGGGTCTGGCTGGGGAGAGTGAAGTCGGTGAACTCGAACTCGGATCCCTGCGTGTCGGCGCCGAGCAGCTCGGCCTCCTCGGTGTCCAGGAAGGTGAGGGTCTGCGAGCTGGGGCCATACGCCTCCACGCTCATGGCGGCGGCGGCGGTGGTGGTGAGGAGAAGCGACTCTTCCCCACCCGCCCGCCCCCCCCCTCTCTTCGCCCGAGCTTCACCGCAGGGAGCCCGGGCGCCGCGCTACGCGAGCGGCAGGATCCGCTGCGCGCACCAGGCCGCGCGCGCGCGAGAGCCGGCCAACAACGAGCCCGCCGCCGCACACCACCCCCCTCGCCCCGGCTCGGGCGGTCCCTCGCGACCGGAGCCAACGGCGGAGAGAAGCGGCCGAAGCGGCGGGCGGGCGCCGGGGGAGGAGCGAGTCCCGAGGCGCTGCGAGCGGGACGGTCCGGTCCGGCCGCTGCCGCCGCGCGCCAGGCCAGGAGCGGTGACGCGGAGCGCACGGAGGACGACGGCGGCGGCGACGCCAGCACGCCCCGTGCGCGTGGGAGGGGTGACGTAACACGCACACACCTGGGGAGGGCAGGCGAAAGGGGCGGAGCTCCGGCGGAAAAGGCGCGAAGGGGCTCGCGCCGCGGGCGGGAGGGGGAGGTCCTGTGTCCCCCCCCCCCCCCCAACCCCACAGAGCCCCCCCACCGCGGGCAGGGGGCGGGGCCTGGCTCTGATTGACGGCTCTGGCAGCCAATGGGTGCTCGAGGAGGGGAGGGAGGGTGGGCGCTCAGCAGGCGGCTCGGCCCCGAGGGGGTGGCTGCGGGAGCAGCCCCGTGTGGTAGCGGTGGGCGAGGGCGGGGGCTGGGGCGGTGGGCGCCCGGAGTGGGGCCATGGAGGGCTGTGGGGCTGTGGGGCTGTGGTGGTGGTGGAGGTGGAGGTGGAGGTTGATGGGCATGGGCCTGCGGCTGCTGTGGTACCGGTGGGAGCCCTGTGGTGGTACCAGGTCCGTGTGAGGGGAGGCATGGTGGTGGAGACAGCATGGGGCTCTTTATCCCCCCGTGTCCGCGGGTTTTGTGGCCTGCCTGCCGCCTGTTCCTGTTTGAAATGAGTGTTTAGTGTCTGGGCTAACAGTGACATAGTCTGGGTAAGGCAGCTGTGCACGGGCTGGAAGTGTTTTGAGGCAGACGCGGTGATTAAGGAGGATCTGGTGTTATACCTGCTCTAGCTGTAATACCTATTATATCTGCGATACCTGGTATAACAGTGTGGTAGCCAGAAAGCTGAGTTGCTGTGAGGTGAGGGCAGTGGAGTTGGCCACGGGAATCCTCTGAGGTCAGGGCAGAGTGTGAGCAGCACATGTCCCTGCCCAGATATACAGAGTGTTGGGTTTGGATGCCCTCGGTTCAACATCCTTTTATTAGCACGAAGCAAACGTCTTTAAAGAAAACTTGTGTGTGTTGTAAAAAAACACTGATAGGAAAGGCTCAATATTCAGTCCCTCTTCCCTACTAAAGCCTTCAACTATAAGATGCAAATATGTGTCTTCTTTTATAAGTAACGTTAATTTTATTCTTGCCTTTGGTGTAGGATAAAGCCTGGATCTGAAACAGCATGTACCAGATTTGCAGCTGTTAGGCTGAAAAGATCTAGATGAAGATTGAAAAGCATCCTTGTTTTAGGAATTCTGTGCACCAAACACAGGAGAGGAAGGAGAACACAGGAATCATCACTTCTGCACACAGACTGTCTGAATTAATCTTTAGCTTTAAGCCTCAAGGAAGAATAGGCTGTATCAGTAGTTTATCATAAATGTATCCTAATACAGGCTTCAGATTAAAGTAGGTTAATCCAACAAGCTGCTAAAATCAAAAGCACGATGGAAATTTGATGAGTTAGGACTGTCACATCAGCTCCAGTGTAACATGGTGACATCAAGACAACTCAGTGTATACCAGTGCATAAGTTCATCAGTGTTACAAGGCAGTTTGATTCCTAAAGCAACTGAACTAAAACCCTCCGAAAGTTCGGCTGGAAAGCATCCATGGATGAACTAAACTGGTTGTTTTAAGCAAACTGGAAATTAAGTGGTTTGTAGTTCAGAGAAGAGCATAACTGAGAAAATATGAAATCCTACTTGAGGATGAAAGCGGAATTGAAGAAGACAGTTCTAAAGCCAGGTAGGCTGCTTGGTATGAGCACTTATTTATTAATAAACACAACGTGCTTGCAGCATTTGGCTGGTCTACAGAATCCTCAAAAGCCCTGGAAACCGATCAAGGGTTTGATGTGCTGCTGGGTTTCTTTCCCTGTCCCCTGCATAATCCAGAAAATACCAATGCTTTTAAAGAGAGGCTGCTTGGAAAATTTGCCGAGAACTGCAGGTCTGTACTTCACTCTGCTGTCAGGAGGGGAATTTGAGGTCCTGAGGCCCAGTGGCTGCGCTGGGGACATGGTGGTGCTGCTGCTGTCTGAGGTGCTGAAGCTGGAGGGCTGCGAGGGATCCCCCCACATGGGGTGGGCAAAAGCAGGAGCAGGGGGTCCATGTGGGAATCCTGCAGTTGGTTTTGATCTGTTTTAATGAGGGATAGAAACAGCGATTAGTTGTGGCCATTGTGTTTTAACTGGAGACTGCAAATAGTCTTTATATCAGTACAAAAGGAGGGTACATTTGAATTTCATGATATTGCTTAATTGTAGTTCACTGCAGGCTGGAAGCTCTGTGGACCACTTGGGGCTTTTAAAGCTGAACATGGAGGCACATATGCAGGCTACATTAGAAAGCCCCATGACAGTATTTTTTGTGTAAGGTTTTCGTGAAGGTTTTCTCTCTTCAGGCTGGGCTGCTGCAGAGATGGCACTCTGCTCTGACTCATTGGGCTCTACTGCTGTGCAGCCAATATGAAATTTAAAAAGGTAACACTTCAGGAAACTGGAACACATTCTGTTGCTGCTTTACCATTTTTATGCATAATTAGATGCTAGATTTGCAGGACAGGCTTAGCTGTAAGAAGCTATCCAAGAGAGCAAATGTGGGTGAATTTCATTTTAAAAAAGGATGATTTCTGCTTGCTTGAGAGCTAAGAAGTTTCAGGTGATTATCTTGAAGAGGTGATGATAAAGGTTCTTGAGGGTTGTCAGTGTAAAACTGGTGCATACAGCAGTTTAGGTGTTGATAGAAATAACACAGTCCTGACTCAAAATAATTTGCTTTTGCCAGAGAACTATCCTTGAAACTCATTTCAATTCCAAGGCATACTGCACTGGGATTCGATAGCATCCTCCACTCAGGACTGCACAGGAGAGGGCTGAAAACAGGCTCTTACCAAAGGGAATGAACTGATTGGTCTGTGAAAACTCCAAGCCATGGAGATAGTGCTGGGAAGTGTCATCATGACGTGGGGGGTTCCGAGCCAATCACACCCAGTGTGAGGAGTCTTTGCAAAGCTGCTACTTCAAATGACAATGTTGGGTAAGGAAAAAAAAAAAAAGTATTTTTTTATCCTGGGATAAAAGAATTCAGGTTAGGAGAAAATGAGAATGAAACAGAGATGAAATGTTCTTGACAAGAATGCTTAAGGAATACCCACTCCTTGCACATTCCATGGTGATGTGTTTGTCTAGGAGCACTGTGATTAGCAGTGTGTTAATATAGCGCAAAACAATGCAGTTACCCTGCAGGTCACTTTCTTATCTGCTCTGTCACTTCACATCTCTATTTCTTCTTTTGTTGGAGGGTCAGCTTAGTTCATGGTGTTTTTAAATTCTTCATTTCCTGTCTCTCTCTGGTTTTCCTTTTCCCTCTTCCCTGAAACAAATCTGAAAATTCCATACAATTGTGAAAATTCCATACAATTGACCTCACCTGAGGACTAGCCAATGGAAGATCAGAAAACACCTGTTGTTGCTTGGTTTTGCTTTAAAGGAAAACTCTCCCCCTCTACACTGACAATATCTAAAAAAAAAAACACAACTTTTTTTTTTTTTTGTAATAAAAGCTAATGCACCAAAACCACAGCAACAAAGCAGAAACCGTTGCAGACTGTGAATTATTCCGCTGCAGCTGGTACAGTTCTTCCCCGTTACCACAAGAGGGACATAGAGGGAAAGCTAATGCAGCGCTGGGAAAGGATGCCAGCAGAGCAGCTTGAGGCAGGTTCCCAGCAACGTGCGTTTTCCTTTTGTTTAGGAAGATCCTCTGGGATCATAACGTTTCTATAACTTCCTTCATCCCATAGAATCCTTAAAAAGCTTTATAGACATTATAGAATGTGATAATAAGCATTAATAGCTGTAATGGCGCTTTTCCCAGAACTTTGTATCTTCCCTCAGCGTTTTCCTATTTTAATGTGTGTAGTAGTGCTGGGACAGAGAGAGGTTGGGCTGGCTGTATTTTGGTTCCATCTCTAAGACTGGACCAACAAACCTTGCAGCATTCAGCAGGCATGTGCAGGAGAGGGGTATGGAGCTAGTTTTGTGGGTTTAGTTTTCACAAATGAATGGCTGATGATGCAGATGTTGTAGGATCAGAGCTCATCTAAATGCCTCCATGAAACAAAAGCACCATGAAATCCCCTTAAGTAAACATTGAAGGGTTTATTGGGCTCTTGTGGAATTAAAAAGCATGGTCTCAATATGCACTAGATTGGAAGTAATGCAGCATGTGTTTAAGGATATGCAGTTGATTAATCCCCAATGTCAGTAAAGCTTTGTTTCCAGCCCTGGTGGAACAGGAGGCATTGCTACTTGGGCATGCTGCTGTTTGGGATCCAAACAATAATACTGGGAGAAGGGCTGTTGTGAGTAAGATGTGACAAATGCCTTCTTTTGAAATAACTATGGACTTCAGTCTTACCACATTTCTGTGCTGGGTATTTGAACTGCATTTGAAGCTCTTGGCATATGCTATTAGATCGAATGGTCATTTTTGAAAGCCCAGTTTAATGCACAGAATGTTTTCACAAAAAAAAAAAAAGCATATCAGAAAAAAAGTAAGGATTTCTCCAAGGTGCAGAAGTGTGTGTGCAGCAGTGAATGCAGCCCAGCTTTAACTTCAAGAGTGTAATGTAGTATACAAAATTCCTAGCAAAGGGCTATTGCTCGTTATCAGGGGGATCTCAATGCTTTTATCCTTCAAATTGTGTAATATTTCTGTTTCAACTGCCTTCCCTGCAGGTTCAGTTGTGGCTGTAAAAAGTATTACTGGAACAAGTCATGGATTGGGAACTTAAAACAGTGAAGGAAAAGGAGGAAAAGATCTTGACATTTCTTCAGTGATCCTGAATGAAGAAGGTACTTAGATATTATTGTGATGAGTGACATAAACTGGTAAGAGATGAAAGCCAGTAAATGAAACTACCTATAAACTCTATGCTATAAACCAGTTTTCATTCACTAAGTTAAGTGGATACTGAAAGGCTAATGAACTGTGAAAAGGTAATTTAATATTAAAATACTAATTAAAACTACTTTATTTCAGTATTAAATTTGAAACCCTTCCTTCCAAAATGTATTAAAATCCTTTCTAACACCCACTCCTTGAAAATAGCTGAAGTGTGTGTTCATCCTAAACAATGCCACGTTAGCACAGACTCAATTCAAGGAACTCATGTAGGGGAAAAGTCTTTTTATGAACAAAGCTTCTGGCTTTCTGAAGGTTTCTGGTTGCAAAAGTGCTATGTGAAGTGATCTCTTTAACTGGCCACAGAAGTTGAAAGCAAACCGTGCTAGCAAAAAGGCATGGTTTCTAAACTCCAAGAAATAAAATTGCTGGAATTGATGGATACATTCAAGAACATATTTATGAGTATCTGTTACCTATTAAATCTGTCTTGGGTAGGAGTTCTGTAAGGAGCAGACTTGTTAAAAATCCTCAGTTTCTAAAGGGGTATCAAAGTTTCTTTAAACTGGGCTTCTTCAAAACAGATGTCATTGTATCTGAGCGTAAAACCAGCAATTGAAGCCCTTGATTGACTACAGAGAGTGTACATGTTCCTTTGTTTTAATTTCTGGCAGTTCTCCTGGGCAGATGGAGAAGCACTGAGGTTATTTCAGTGTAATGTAAAATCCAGTGCTTCACAAAGGGTTTGATGTGTGTTTGGATCTCATGAGTGGTGTTCCTCCCTCTGGTTTAGTGGGGAAAATGGGAGAGTGGTGAGCTTTCAGGTTGTCCCTGGAGGCTCATTTAAATTTAGAAATACTTCTAAGTTTTAGCAACACAACTTCTGATGTGGTAGAAGCTTGCTTTCTTCTCAAAGCATTCCTGCTTTACAGACATGTTTTTAACCTTGGGGGAAGGTGGCATGCACAGGGTTAAATAGGCAGTTGTTTTTCTAAAGAGTATCTTAAGAGAACAAATCACTTGAAAACCAGTATTTTTGGAGTCCCACCCTGCCTTTTTCTTTGCTTTTTCTTTAAGTGAATAACATACTTGCATTCTCTACATAGAAAGTGAATCCTTCCAAGTAATTCCTTGTTCCTGCTGTGGGAGAGGTCTGTTTGTTTGGCACTTGTTAAAAAAAGGAATAATGCAAGCCATCCCATAATGAGGTGTATTGCCCTTTGGGTTTTGCTGGGGGGTATCTAAACACACAGGTAAGAATGTATGTTCAGCCATATAAGGTGGCTACATGACTTGCAGGAGTGGTTCAGACTCCTGCTGGGCTAAACACCTGCATCCATGAAGGTCCTTGTCCTGGAACATGAACCATTTGATTTTCAGGTCTCCAGCTCTCAAGAATTATTCCCTCTGGCTTTTCCATGGATATCTCAGGTCCTTTTGATGTGAAATACAGCATTTGCCAGCGAGGCCTTCTTTCATTGCAGATATCAAAGGTTCAGAAAACAGTAAGTGTAAGCACATTCATAGTGGCAGCTATAGGTAAGGTTAGTAATATTAACAGTTGCTTCTCCTTTATTTCTTGACTGAAGAAAAACCAGATCTAGAATTGAGGAGACCAGATGTATGAGGTGTTGCAGTTGTTTTGCTGTCATGGAAGCCCTTCCATTAGAAAGTCTCTATTTCTGATGTCTAGGGTGAGTGCAGGGCAGGAAGAGCTTGGGTGCCTGAACCAGACTGGTTTCAGGATGGAGAAGCTTGCTTGAAGTGGAAGGAATGTTTTCTTTGCAGAATGTTGTGGATTTGAAGAGGAACCAAGCCAGTACTGAGTGCAGGTCATCAATGGTTACAGAGCAGCTTTGTAATGCCTTCCCAGAAGTCAGGAGTTCCTTGGAAATGTACCCAGGCCACTGGTGGAGTTTCATCAAATGGCATATGAAAAGATCTGGACAGTGTACTCCTGAGAGTGGAGGTTTCTGTTAATTATACCTACTTCCTAAACACTGTGGGCTTAAAATACAGTGGATTTGCCCCTACTTGCATAAAATGGAGTTTCCCACTATTGAGTTGTTAAGGAGTGTTTCATGGAGTTCCTTTGCTAAGGGTTACTGATTTCCCTGTCACTGTATGGTTTCATTGCCTGCTCCTCAGCTGCTAAGCCAGGGCAGAGGTGGGGTGATTCTCCCACCCCAGCCTGGTAGTGCTGGTTACTGAGACTTCCTCAGACTGGATTATTTAGAACCCGCTGACCTCCTTTAGTAGCAACAGGTACCAAAGTTACATGGTAAAGCCTCAGGACCTTCTCTGGGTCCGATCTACCACGCTTTCAGCAGCACTTCCAAAATAACTGCCCAGCGAGCCTTTGCTTTTGGCTTTCCGTGCGCTGTGTGAGGAGGCAGAGTTCCCACTGGGGAAGGCAGCCAGTGTGACAGCCAGTAAATAAATGGAAGGGTGCTGGAACAGCTATGGAGAGATGGAGGGATAAGGAGTCCTTCCAGGCTGTTCCCTCTGGAGTCATGCAGACCAGCAGTTATCAAGTGGTGCCATTGGAGAGTCACGTTGCAGAAGCTGCTACAGGTGCTGTGATGAAAGTGGAGTCTCTGCGAATTCCTGGCCCCTGAGCAAGACTCATGGCAACACTATGGACCCATCGTGGAGGCTGGAAACTCTGAACTGGGGGTGGTTTTACTAAAAAGGAAATTATTGGGCTTGATTTATGATCAAACAGAAGTTTTCAAACAGCTTTTCAGTTCTGGCCCAGAAATCCATGAGGCTTATGTCATGTGGAGGAAACTCAGAACACAGACATTTTTTTATGTAGCTGTTAGCCAATGTTATTAAGAAAATGAAACGTTAAACTGGATCCTATGGCCTTTTTTTTCAGCTAGAATGTGAAGACAGAGCAAAGGTGTAATGAGAAGCAAGTAAGTGGCATTCCAGTCTCAGACAAGATACTAACAGATGAGACCACCACCCTGGCAGCAGGTTAGTATGTGACTTTGCTGGAAGAGGTGATTGCGAAAGGATATGAAGAAGGTCTGGAGAGCAATAATTCGAAATAGCACTTTAGTAATGATGTCATTTAAACAAAAAAGCAACATTAAACATTGGGCAATTAACTCCTTTGGATCAAGAGCAACGCAGGGCCACTGGCCAAGGTGCAGAAGAACTTCTACAGCAGGAGGAATTGCACAGTGCAATAAAGAGCTTGTGAAAAGCCCAAAGCATGCAAGGTCATGATGGAAAAGCTATATCAGAATAATCCTGAGGAGTGGCAGGATAAATAACCCAATGTTTTTTGTGAGCATGAGGGCTTACTAGGAAATGGAGGGGAGGAAGGTATTAGAACTGTAGTAAGTAGTATATTCACTCACAATCAGTCCATGTGTCTTGAAGTCAGAAGATCTTGCACTAACTGGAGCACTGGAACATCTTGGAATGGTTGCTATGATCCCAGCCTGATCCTGAGCTCTTCTCTTGGGGCTCAAAAAAAATCCAGTTACAACCTGCATCCACCTCCTTGACTGAGGAAGCAGAAGGGCTGAAACAAGACAAGGGATCTTGTAGGGATCCCACAAGGGATTCTTGTGGGCTTGATCAACATCGGGAAACATCAAAAATGGCATTTAAAAGCTGTATTGTTGGAGGTTTTTTCTTTAGAGGATGGCCCATGCTGGTGCTGCAAGTGGTCTGGATTGGTGGCTTAGGGTATGGAGATCAACCCTTTCCTGGCAGGTGTGGGTAGTTTGAAACAAACTCCCACTGAATTCAGCGATGAACAGCCAAAGGCCTGGTCAGCTTGGTGGGATGCTGCACATGCCATGCTCCTTTTTCCTCTCTTATACTATTTGTTCCATATCCCACTAGAGGCCACCACAAACCTCATCTGGCAAAAAAACCCAAAAACAGCAGAAAGGAAGGGAGGGGGCACCTGCAGTGCTAAATGGCAAAAGCTCCTGGTTTATAGGGAGGTTTAGAAGTGGAACTTGGATATCCCTAGAAACAACTTCTCTTCCCACTGTGGTAGGAGTAACTCCCAGATGTGACTTGAAGCCAGCAAATGATCTCAGGCTGTGAGATCAGATTTTGCTGAGTGTACAGGGTTAGACACATTCATTACTCTTTCCAGAAGATCTCCTGTCCAAACCATGCATCGATATTTGATTTCCTTGGGAAATATTTGCCTTCATAAAAGCCTTTACTGCATCTGTGTATAGAGACTCAAAGTTTCAACATTGGCTCCTGCCTTGCCAGTAGAAAGTTGCTTTTGTCATTGCTATTTATTCACCTGAGGCGTGGGGTTCCTGGAATTGTGTGTGCTTTCCTGGAAGAAGTGTTGAAGGGTGGAATGGCTTGTGCAGGAAGCATTCAAAGACTGCAAAGATGTCAAGGAGAGACAAGGCAGCTGCTCAGGGAGAGCTCTTGGATTCCACTCTCATGATAGGTATTTCTCTGGCAGTCATTGTCTCAGGAGCTCAGTGTTGCTTACACCCAGAGTGCTTTGGCTTGAGGAAAGGTTAATGGAAGAAATTGCCTCTGTGCTAGCCAAGAGCAATTGGCCTTTAGTGAAGGAAGCATTGCAGAAACATAGAGGATCAAACTTCGAGTTTCCATGTGGATTTAAAATCAGAGCAATGCTGTGATTGTCACAGTTCAGCTGATAACGTGTCCTTGCAAGCTTCGGATGGGAAGAGCTGTTTAGATGAAGCAGGGACTGACTCTGAGTCTTTACATCGTGATACTGAAAAATTGTGTGGAAAAGATTTGCTTTTGTGGCTGTTTTTCAGCTTTGGGTGGGGTCAGGAGAAGGAATTGCCAGAATTCTCCAGAGCCAGCTCATTCCTGTGAGATTTCTGGTCTGATATTTTCTTGAAAACTCCAGAGGTTTGGACCGGTCTCCAGACTGGATCTTGCTGGAGAGTTTCCCCTGGCTCCTCAGCCTGTACGTGCCATGTTTCCATCTCTAGGGGTGAAAAACCCAACAGGTCAGAGTCTGCATGATGTCGAATTTTCCTCTGAGCTTCTAAATGCTGTACAAAGAAGCCCAATTTTTGGATGAAGCCAATACTCCAGAACGTCTTGAGGTTTAGGAAAAGAAAATGTTCTGTGAAAAGAGATATATGGTGAGACGGGCTGGCAGCGTGGGCAGCAGGGAAAGCACATGGCTCCTTTGCTTCCATAATCCTTGAGGCTGGTGAAACAAGCAGTTTCACAAATGCAGCTGTTTACCTTAAAGGCTCATGGGCCTCTTGAATTGGTTCTTTTGACTTGCACTGGTTAGTAACTTCCTGGTAGTCAGGATGAGGCAGCATAGTTCTCTTTAGCATTGTGGAAGCTGCTACTCAGGTGACATTTTTGAGTCATAGCTGTGTGCTTTGCACCCAAGTGGGGAGATCCTTCTGCAGGAGAATAGCTGAGTATTTCACTTGTTACTTAACCAGATGTGAGTGAGGGCTCAGCTGCCTGGCTCTGTGCTGTTATTTCTGTTTGACAAGTCATCTTCATATTGGATGAGATCTCTTTTTTTCAGAGACACAAAGTGCTGCTGCTTCTGAGGACGATACCTGTCCTTCCCACCCCCGGAGCGTGGGCCCTGCAAACATCTTCATCTCTTCATTCCTGTGACAGCCATAATTGTCTGACAGAAAAGCCTGTGCAGCGCCTCAGGCAGGTACTGAAGGGGGACAGCACTGTGGAGGATACACTGCCTTGTGCTACAATGGGCTCTGTCTACAGGGTACTGAGTTTACCATTCTCTGCTCAGGCCTGAGGATCTGGCATCCTCTTGTGGTCAAGGTTTTGAGAACAATTAATGAAGGCTTAAAGAACAGTTTCCAAGAAGAGGATTCGTTCTTGTTTGCTTAAAATCTACCCAAAGTTCTTCATCAGTTGAAATGGGGTATAAGCAATAAAGATCAAGACAATGTTCTGCTCTGCCACCATCACAAGAGGAAGAAGGATTTCTGTGGCATGCTAAGGCTCTGCTGTAATAATAACCACTTTTTTTTTCATATTCAAGATTCTGTTTTTACAAGTGGATAATAAGACCACTTTAGAGAGCAGCTTTGACAGGCTGCTGATCCTTCCTATATCCCTCTATTCTTTGCACCCTCGGTGAGTCTCCCAGTCATCCTGATTCCACAGCAGTTGAAGAAAGCACCTACACTTGAAGAATTTTCACTGTAATTCCTAAAGGCTTCCCCCCCCATTTCCCTTGTATGCAAGTGTTAAACTACTCATAACCAAAACTAAAATGTGTGAGGCATAGAAGTGTTGCATATAGTGACTTACTTCTTTTCCACATTTCTGTTTCTCACTGGGTATTTTGAAGAGTTTAGTTTGGAGAAAGCAATGGCCGGACTTC